CCTTGTGCTGAGACACCTCTGTCTGCTCCGCTTCCCACCCCCCACTGACCGTGTAAGCAGGACAACTAATGTCTCCACGGGCAGTAAAAGGCGGCAGCAGCTCTTTCTCCTGCACAAATCACTTGGAGGTTACAGCATGTCACAGACTCGCATTCGAGGCCTCCCTCCACTTCACAGGGTTTGAATCTACACATCCTTTGCTGCGGGTTGAACATGCTCTTACTGCCTCCAATGCTCTGGGGCAGGGATGGCTGTGAGCATCACTTCCCTTGAAGCCAGCCCTGCACCCAGCCATACCCTTCGATGCCTCTTGAATGCCAGTTGTGGCACCTATAAGATATAACACAGGGTCCCGCATTGTTAGCAACAGCCCTCAGACAGGGGGCCAGGACCTGAGCTGTGAAAAGCAGGAGGAGATGGGAATGGCGGTTTTGTGCCCATGTCCCCTTCTGTGTCTGGTTGGGTAGCAGATTGTGAAACAACACCCCTCATACCCCCACAACCCTGCTAAAGCTGCACTGGGGCTGGGGAACAGGCTGGCAAGGTGCTGGAGCTGCGTGTGTCTGCAGGCTGGCACTCCTAGCTCTGTGCCCACACTGTCTCCTAGGGCCACCCTCCTCACGCTGGGGGAAACGGGACCGGTGCCCATTCCCAGTTACACTACCATGTGGATTTGCACAGGAGTGGCATTGCATCAGTGCAAGGGGCTGGAGATGTTGGCTCTCAGGGTGATCTGAAAACAAAGGCATCGCCCATCTGCTACACCCGCCTGCCCACGCTGGGTGCCTGGCGTCCGGTGTCATGCAAGGGAGAGATTTGACAGGTTTGCCTCCTGGCTGGGGGCTGGACAGAGCCAAGAACTGTGCACAGCTGGGCTGCCAAGGCAATTCAAAGAGCCTGATGGTTGTTCAAGTGAGGATGCCTTTCCTACCACCACTGGATCACTTTGGTGCATGGGCAGGAGGGACCAACTCCCCCCACACTGGGTGAAGCTGCAACTGGGTAAAGCATTTGGCTATGTACATGCACATGGGGGTTGAGTATGGTGCGCAGCAACACGATAGCATGTCTCGTGTTAGGCCTGGCTTGGTAGATGCTCTCGGACCATGCACCACAGGGCAGGGAGTCACCAGGAACTTGGGGGCATCCCTGGCAGAAACAAGGGCACGTCGGCTTCCCAAGCATGAGACCGCAGCTGTGGGGGATCTTGGAGGACTGAGTTTCAGCCACGGGTACCTGGGGATCTCCAGCCCTGAGCACCAAACATGTCCTCGGTGCTCTCTGAAGCTGACAGAGGCTGAGTACAATCAACTTACACCCGCAACAGCTTTTCCATTGAAACCGTGTTGGGAAACAGCCTATTTTCTTGCACTGTCTTCATTAAACCTGTGACGCTCCGAACTGTTGTAAACTGCAACGGCATCTTTGCCCTCAATGTTTCCAAGCTAGCGAGCGCTAGCGTTGGCATTGATGTGAGACTGCAAAGGGGCAGCAATTAAAACCAAGCAACAGTGATGAGAACTCGGTGCTCGGCTTTCGGCGCGGGGCGGACGCACCGGCGGCTGGGGTCTGGGCCTCACGTCGGCTTGCCTCTGTTCGCTCAACGAGCATGGCAGCTTCCCCTGTTTTTAGGCATGTGAATTATTCATCCTGCTGCTGAGCCGTGACATTTTAGTTGTCCGTCCTGGGAGAGAACAGCTTTCTTTTAACAGCAAACCCTTCCGGCCAACTTCTGCTGCAAGGCGTTAGGTCCAGATCATCGGCAACTTCGGCGCATCCGAGAGCAGGAGCTGACCTCCTCTTTTCACTTCTAAGCTGAACAAATGGTCCTGGCTCCTGTGCTTTTAAAATCAACAGTGCAATTCCTTAGAGAAGCTATGGGAGATGATGGATGGGGGCAGAAGTTGTACCAGCGCTGGAAGGCTAAATCTATCATCCCGCCCTTGACACTAGAAAACATCAATGAAAAGCAGGAGGAGATGGGAATGGCAGTTTTGTGCCCATGTCCCCTTCTGTATCTGGTTGGGTGGCAGATTGTGAAACAACACCCCTCATACCCCCACACCCCTGCTAAAGCTGCCATGGGGCTGGGGAACAGGCTGGCAAGGTGCTGGAGCTGCATGTGTCTGCAGGCCGGCACTCCTAGCTCTGTGCCCACGCTGTCTCCTGGGGCCACCCTCCTCACGCTGGGGGGAATGGGACCGGTGCCCATTCCCAGTTACACTACCGTGTGGATTTGCACAGGAGTGCAAACTGCCTTTGCAACTGCCCATGCAACTATCCCAGGGAGAAAAGGACACACCACTGAGCTCACAACCGCGCGCTCAGTGGATTCAATGAGTGAAGTTGTCTTGGAGGCTGGGATGGTCTTCTGTGCTTCCAGTGGTGGTATTAACCTTCCCCCCAACAAGTGGTCCCACATTTAAATTTTGCGGCCCCATCCCACAAGGGTTTCCGTGAGAGGCCTCTGCATGTCCCGTGTGCGAAGCCTGTGCTTAACACTAGCGTGCAATGGAGGACCTTGTGCCCCTAGCACAGGAGAAACGGGTGTCTCTGCAGCTCCACCCACTGTGACCTCAGGGGTCAACCCAGAAGGGGACGGAGGCACCCAGCTCTAGACTAAAGGTGCCACAGGTGGAAACACCTGAGAGAGGCAATGCAGAAGTGCAGCACGCTGCACCTACTCCCAGTGCTGGTGCCTGAAGCAGGTCGACCAGCCTTTTGGGGCGGGTGGTGGAGCTGCCGACGTGGCTCACAGGAGGCCAGGAGTTAAAACACTGGCCAGAGAGGAAAGAGGCCAACTTTTAAGTGATCAATAGTTCATCCAGCCAGAAAGCAAGAGACCAGGCAAGCCCAGCCACTTCTCCCCAGCGTAACGCTGGCTTGCACGGACCCTCGTCTGAGGCTGTGCATTGCTGAGAAGCCCAGGCACTGCATGGGCCCGTGGCTGGTTAGCAGTCCACATCGCAGCTCCATGCCTGCCACGTAGGCTGAGCCTTGCAGCAACTAGGATGCCCGTGGCTCCAGCCCGCAAGCTCGCCCTGAAGTCTTTCCCTGCCGCAGCCTCGAAAAGAAGCCGTCGTTGCCTCAGCGATCCAGCCCTGATCACCTCTTGGAGGAGTAACTTAGGAAGAGTCGAACTGAAGCAGCTCAAAGCTGCAGGGATGCTCGGCTAGCCACGGCTCGCTCTGCAGGCACTACCCCAGGCTGTGCAGGGGCAGGCGGGAAGACAATGGCAGCAGCGATACCAGAAAAAAGGGGCTTTATGGCAAGGCTTCAGCTTTCCCAAACAGGGTGTGAACAGGCTTAAGCACATCTCTTCACGTGAAAACGCAGCGTCCTCCACAGCCTCTGGCATTTGTTTTAGCGTGTGCTTGCTTAATTGTGGAGTCCAGGAACCAACCCCATGCGTGCATGCATATGCATGTGTGCATATGTGCGTGCTTCATTCTGTTTTCACACCGGTTGGCGTTCTTCCACCAGCTTGCTTGGCACCAGAAGCGAATTGCAGTCAGCTCTGCCTGCAATCACAGCCCAGCTGCAGCAGGGCCAGGGATGAAGCAGTGATTGTACTGGTTTCTATTGCATTTCACGCACCAGAAAGCTTTGCATCAGTGGGTTTGGTGACTTAAAGGACTTTTCCTGTGCGTAGCCTTAACGCCGCGTCTGCCTCTGCCCAGACCCTCGCGGCCATGAGTTTCCTACTCTCCTCGTCCTTGGGTGCCTTGGCCATGGCAGGCAGCAGAAGCAGCTGGATGGAGCCTGAGAAGCTCAAGAAGCAAACCAAAGCCACGGCTTCCCAGGACGCTAGATATATTCCTACTGCTAGGCCCAACTCTGGGAAGAGGCCAGATGCCCTGGTGATGGGCATGGATTGAGAACGGGTGTCAGCGGGCAGGGATGGGGAGCGGGGCTTGCAGGACAGGAGCCCCCAGGGCGGGATGCCTGTGCAAAGCCGAGGGAAGAGCTCAGCTGCTGTGGAGGAGACGCAAACGCTGCTCCCCTGCCCTCATGGGGCCGACAGCGCTGGGGCTTTGTGTCCTCTAGGGAAAGGGCTCTCCCACAGCAAACCGAGAGAGGAGCCCTGTGGAGACCACACATTGCCCATCACTCCACCTTGCTGCCTGCCTGTGCGCAGGGAGACTGGGTACGGGGAAATTTCTCTGGGACTCTCATGCTAAACCAGGCTCAGCTGGGGTAAGAGGGCATCGCCACTTGGTACATGAATATATGTGCAGAAAAACACAGCGGGGCTGGAGAGTGGCTGAGCTGCAAGTGAAGTAGTAAAGAAAGCCATCTAGTCTCTCACACGCACCCTGCACACTCATCCTCCTCCTCTTGCTGCCCCCCAGCAGCCTTGCTCCTCGCCCGTGCACACACCAGGCCCTTGTGCAATGAACTCTCCATCCTTCCTGCTCGACTGCAGGCGTTTCAGTAGCTTTATCCCCCTCTCATTTCACAGTAGTAAAACCTCACGTCCCAGCATCCTAAACCCCTAATGAATTAACCAATTCACCTTGCAAGGCACAAAAGCCTATTTATGAAACTCCCCTGGCAGCTAACCATGGAAAAACAAAAGGGAAAGAAAGGACACAAGATGTACACCCAGCTCAGACATGCGCCGGTCATGCCACCATCACCCAAGGATGCTGTTCTAGCGTGGATGGAGAAGCCAAATGCAGCTGGTTCCTATCTGCAAGGGCCAGCACCCTAGGTCGTTTATTTAATTCAGCATCAGGCGCCGTCCCTGCCTTTCCTGCCCGACAAACCCCCCTGGATGCAAGTGGAAAGTGGAAGAATAACACGAAAGCACAGAGAGCGCAACCTTTCGTCTCGCCGGCTTCCGGCACATTGCTCGCCAAGTTCAATTTTCCAAAAGCTCTGTTTTATTTTTAAAGGTAACATCTTTATTAGTAGCAGTAGTACTGTTGTCGTTAGTGTTTATTACTTTATTAGTAGTTGTCATAGTAGTATTATTATGCAGAGATGAGTTTTTTTTTCCCCTTTTGATCACAGAGCAAACAATTGCTTTTGCAAATGTTAATGGAGTCCTGATTTAAAATTTTTTTTTTCTCTTCACTTTTGGGGGGGGGTTGTTTTGGCGTGTGTTTTGTTTTTCTAAAATGTTGCGACAGGCAAGATTTGGGGGTCGTTTTCCTCATCCTACTCAACAAAAGATTTTGAGTTCAGAATCCTAGCCGCTACTGGTAGGTCCTGCCTTGCTCAGTTTGTGGTGGTCTCGTGTGGTTTCACCGGGTGGGGTGGGCAGGTGGGCGGGAGGGGGACGACGGGAAGTGGGGGCAAGGGGGGTGTTTTGCAGCTATGTTGAGTCTTGGTTCACGACTTTGCCTCCGTTCATAGTTGGTGTCCCTGAACTTTTCCTTGAGCGTCCTTGTTTCTCTCCGATTTCATGCAGCGATGGCTCCCTGTACATGCACACTGTGGACGGAAAGGGCAACGGTTAGCTCATGTGCTGCTATAGAGACTGGGCTCGTTGTCCATCATTTGTATGAAGGATTGGGTTTCCTAGCCTTCCCCCTGCCCCCATCTCCCTCCCTACACACATGCACAGAAAATCCCGGTTTGTCCCATTACTCACGGTCTTGTCTGCCTGAGCTGGCAGCTGCAGCCTTTGAAGCCTTCACTCCTCTAAAGGGAGTAAGGGCTGACCTGGTCGCTCCCAGCTAAGTCATCCCTAGTGTCTGCTCTTTTCACACGTCTATGCATAGCTGTGTATACCAACACCCTCCTTTACGGTGCCGTGTATAGTCTCGAGGTGCCAATACCAGCAAGAAACGCATGAAAGCATCAGCCTGGCTCCCTTCCTTGAACTGTCAGCAGGAAATACGTGAGAAAAGAAAAGCATCCCCATCTGTGCGACTGCAGCCTTGTGCCCAAACCTGTTGTACCCTCTAGCCACGTGCTGGGGTCTGCGCTCGGTGCTGGGATCACACCAGGCCACGTTGTGCCAAGCCCCGGGGTGGGGAGGAAGCAAAGCCTCGTCTAGACAGAGAGAAACTACCTGTGTTGTAGCTTGATGCAGCATGTCTTCTCTGCTCCTGCGAGCCTCCTCATGCTGGGAGGCACTTACAGGGCTCAATCCTGCACTTCATGATCTGAGCGATGGTCTCCAGTTGTGGCAAGGGAAGTTGAGGTTGGATATTAGTAAAAACTTCCTTGCCAGGAGGGTGGAGAAGCAGTGGGACAGGTTACCCAGAGAGGTGGTGGAGTCTCCATCCTTGGAGGTTTTGAAGACCCGGCTACACAATAGCGATGGATGCCCCTTTCCTCCAAGGATGGGTCCAGTCCCTTTTTGCAGCTTCCACCACATCTGGTGGTCATGAGTCCCACACTAATGACACGTGGGGTGTAAAAGAGCTGCCTGTTGTTACTTTTAAATTTACTGCCTGCTTGTTTTGTGTTGCGACCCCTCGTTCTTGTATTGTGACAGCGAATACGTCCACAGCGCTTCCTCTGTCTCCAAACCAGTCTCACCTTGGGTGGGGGAATACAACCCCGCTGGGTTTGTACCTACCAGAGGGGAGGATCAGGGCAGGGCTCCCAGGTTTTAGACCAATACCCTAGTCATGAGGCTTAGCAGTTAGTGCACTGCTGCATCCTGCCTCGGCGATGGAGCAGGGACTCTGCGTGTCCTGCTCCCTGGAGGAGCGTCCTAACTGGCCACACAATTAAAGGCTGCTGCTCTGCCCCCATTGGGGTCCTTGCCCAGCGTTATGCATGTACCCACCCAGCCAGAGCACAGTCATACCGAGCACACTCAACGGCGCGTGCATGCATGTGTGCTGGGAGTCGAGCCCCAAATGGCGAGCAAGGTCCAAGCGCTGCAGGGCCGTGGCTGGCCCCGTGCCACTCAGGTGCAATGTGACACAGGATGGAGCCTGCTCTGCCTTCTCACTGCTGGACGTGCAACTGGAGAGAGCAAGGAGGTGTTTCCCCTGCCTGTCCCTTCCAATGCTCCTGCATGCTGCTGCTTCCTGTCCACTCGAGCCGTAGCCAGGGCTAGCTCAGGCCATCTGCCTGCAACCTCGGCTGTTGAATAAGGGTCTCTGCTTGACCCCATCTGGAGAAACTTCAAGGCTCCCATTTCAAATAGGGCCTTCTGGACCATCCGTCCAAATCCTGACCCTTCTCATGGGCAAACGTGCTGGAGATGGGAACTAGGGATGGGGCCAGGTAGCAAAGCTGACCCTTCCAATCCTGGCAGGGGTCCCTCAGACGGGCGTAATACCACATTGTTTGCTAGGCTATTACAGCACGGCTGAGTGGGGAGAATCAAGCCCATCATAGTTTGGTTCTGGTTCCTCAACAAGAGCATGTCCAAGGAAAAATTAAACAATTCCAGTCTAAATGATGTGAATAAAGAAGGGGGGGGGCACCACCTATGGCAAAGTGCATTTCCCCTGGATGCTCGTAGCCTTGCCCTGATTTCCAAATAAATCTCAGCAATTAGAGCCAGATCGAAAATGTTGCAATTGCTTGGCATTTCACTCTTATCTACAAAAACATTTATAGTAATGCAGAATAATGTAGGGCAGCAATAAAGTGCAGTCAAGTGCAGAGCAATATAGGCGATATTGCACAGAATATCTCAGCAATGAAAAACATTAATTTGCCCATATAGCAAGCCTGCCATCCAAGGCTCTCAAAGCACTTTAATTGCACACTCTAACTGAGCCTCACGACACCCCAGTGAAGCCTGTACTGAATAGTAAAGTACCGTGGGTAAGGCTGTTCTCAACGGGAAATACAAAAGGAAAGAGAATGAATGACCTGCTTATCTTGAATTGATGCTGAATAAAATCCAAGCATCCTAAGCTCCCCAGCCTGAGCACTACCCTGCACCTCGTCTGCTTGGCAAACAAACCACAGGAACAAAAGGAAGCCCCAAATTCCCTCTAGTCCTGGCAGCAGCGAGGATGCTGGCTACATCCTGCAAGCCTTGACAGTCCTCCTTTGCCTTCCCACAATACTGTCTGCGTGCCCAGAAGGATGCATGTGCTCGCCCACAACCCACTGAGAAACTTCACTGCAGCAGGGAGGGCAATGGGCCGTGGCCTGACCCCCATGGGCTAGTTCTCCACCACGGTGAGCATCCAGACCCAGTCCCTGACCTTGCAAATCCAAGTCACGAATACGAATCAAGCAGCACACAATTAGACAGGACACACAGCTAAAGCTAATTAAGAAATCCATGCACTGGAGTAGCAAATGAGCCAGGCAGGGACACTGAACAAAAGTGGAGACGAGCAAAGCAGACGTACTGCGCCTCTCGCAGAATCAGTGCAAAACCCGAGGGAGCAGATCACAGAAGAGAGGGGAGAGCAGCGCGGGGCGTTTGGATGTGCAAGAGTTACCCCATGCACGCAATCCCAGCCTACGCAATATTTATACACAGCGACACGGCCTGTTCCCACACAGCTGCGTTATGCAGATTCAGTGAGTTGGCGTACGCAAGCGGCATCCATCTAGACGGGAAGCGCTCACATTTGTGGACTGGCAGAGCTAGAAGGGATCGAGTCCGACCTGCTGTATAATACAGGCCACGGCTGCTGACCCCGGCATTGAGTTCAATCACTTGCGACATGCACCAAGATCAGCGACGGGCCAGCGAGCCAGCACTGGGGCATCCCACCAGGTTGGTCAACACTGAACCAAACTCTTTCTAATCCCATCGTCGCAGCGGCTGACAGCTCGTTGTGAGCGGCGTGATTCAGCCCTACGCCCGGCAGCCGGGTGTGTTCGGTGGATGACGCGGCCCTAGCTGTAAACCTCGCCACCGAGCCACAACACTGACGGTAGAGATGGGGACTGCGTTTTACCCATCAGCTGGTTCTCAGCCAGGGATAGCCAACACACCTGCTAAGGAAAACATGCAGATCAGGGATCTTCTGGCAGCTGAGCTGTGTACAGCTGGGGTGGGGGATGATGTTGATTCCCATCAGGAAAATATCTGAGATTAAAAAACACAGGTGCCTGGTGCCTGAAGAAGGGTGTTTGTACCTGAAAGCTTGCAAAGAAGAATTTTTCCAGCTATAGTTGGTCTGATAAAAGATAGACCATGTCTGCCTGTGTCCTTAGACCAACACAGCTACAACCAACACCCCTGGTGCTAGCTTGGGCCCTTGCAGGTTGGCTTTCTAGACGGCATTGCATTGCAGCAGAGCTCAGCCCTGACTATCACAGGGCAGGGGGTCCGGGCTCTCCCCCAGGTCTGAGCATGCGCTGTTCACATGCTCAGGAGCCAGCTTTCCACTGATCCAGACTTATGGGGCTTTACAACTGAGCACCTACTTACCCACACACACAGTCTTTAATATCAGTGAGCCAAGGATTCAATCAGACCCTGTGTCCTAGTCTCTAATCAACATGCACATCCTAATGCATCCACTGAACAGCCATGCCCACAAATGTAGCGGCCAGCCATGGGGGTCAAGCTCCTCTCCTGTGCAAGTGCCAGCCCCATGAAGAGGAGGAGGGTGTGTGGTGGGGGAGGCATGCCTGTCTGGGGCTGAGTTTTCTCCCTGTCCAGCGGTGCACACAGAACCAGCTCTGGAGGTGGGATGGGGTGGATTTGGAGGGGGCAGTCAGCGATGTGCCAGACTGAGGGGGACACACTACAGACAGCCATACCACATGCTGCCACTTCCATTTCTCCCAGCCCTGGACTCAGGGAGGCGATGCAACCCCTGCACAGCAAGCAACCTTGCTTTGCTGGCATGCTGTGAGCTGCCCAAAACAGCGTTTTGGAAGCCAGCAACAACAGCAACAGCTTTGAGCAGACACACTACCCTCACAGGCTTGCAAAGCTTCCGGCTCCCTTGATGCACAGCACAGGGCATGCATGACTGGTCTGGTGGGGGACCACAGCTGCCCCGGGGTTTGGTTCTCCATAGCTTGGGTCTCATGGGCTCATGCTGGAGGGGAGAGGGTTGAGGGCTCAGCAGTTGCCTCCTCCTTGCCCCGCTGCCCCTTGAGTGGTACTTCACAGCAGGCAGGGGCATCCCCAGGACCCCAGGAGCACCCTGGAGCTGTTGTGAGTGCACCCCAGGCTTGCATCTCCATCCTTTTTGGGCACAGCGGCTAGTGGTTAGAAGCCAGAGAGCCGACACACCGTGGGCAAACATTGCGAGGAATTAGACGTGCTCTAATGCAAGACGGTGCAGGACCTTCTCATTTCTAGGATTATGATAAGAAGGAGGGGAGGGAAGGGCATACCAACCCTCCGAGAGGAAGAATAATGTCAGAGCTACCGCAGTGCGTGAAAGATGGATTTCCATCCTTGGAGGTGTTGGGATGGTGGAGTTGGGGCTGGTCCTACTTGGAGCAGGGGGTTGGACTAGATGGGACATCCTGAGGTCCCTTCAACCTGAATTTCCTACAATTCAGCAAGAAACCCTATTTCTCTGCTGTCCCCCTGC